GTGTTAATAAACATAGATCACATGTGGGACCCTTAACCTCTTGTGACTGAATTGGTTTGTTACAAGGATTAGTCTTTCTTAAATGGGTGAAACAATTGATTCTTGACCTCAGCCACATACCTGAACCATTCAGAAGCTAGAGCAGATAACTCTAGTCCTTATTAACTAGCATAAGCAAAGATAGATTTTAATGGAGTGCTTCCATTCGCCACAGAAAAAAACGCAAACATTTTTGCAACTGGTTCTAAATTGCCATGTGAAGCCAAAGTTTCAGCTTTGTTTCCCAAAGGTGGTTAATTCTGTTTTCCTGTAAAGCTCTAACTTGATACAACTGTCTCCAACTGCAGTTTGTGGGGAATGCTTACAAGCTTGATGCTTTGTTAATTATGGTTGGTAGGAGTCCTGGGGCTTAGTATCTCTCTTGCATGATTTGGCAAGAGATGTAAACTTGTTTTTCATATTACTCTCCTTGGTGTCCCTCAAGATTTCAAGTTTGCTGCTGGCATGGATTACCACTAAGATGTTTAATGTAAAACTGGTATAAAAGCTCTGGCATTGCATATCATGACACTTGAAGACTTTCATTACTTAGAACATGCCATCTGGTACTTCAACTGATTGATTCACTTCCATAGAGAGTCGTCCAGTATCTACATCAGCAAGTATTTAATGGATGAAGGAGCAAAGCTCCATATCTATGATCCTAAAGTACCTAAGGAACAAATAATCTTGGATCTCTCGCACCCAGGTGTCTCAGAAGATAACCAAGGTAAGAATGCTGACATAAAGCTTATTTCCCCCCTTCTTGCCCCACCCTATTCTCAAAATACAGAAGGCCTGTTTAAATACTATAAATTAATTTTCACATTTTCACCATGGCAATGATGTGCTGTTGGCTACACTTACTAGAGGATTGTCGTAGCTCAGAGGATTACTATAACTCTTCCCCCTTTCCCCATAGCTTTTATCTATAAATGCTAATTCTGTACTATTGTGTATTTTTATTTTGAATACATGAAAAGAATTTTCTCTCTGCATAATTAAAAGGAAGAGAAAGAAGAATGTCTAGAAGTAGGAGAGACTAGTGTTGTTCTGTTAGCTCCTTTGTGTCCTGAGTCGAGTCCTATCTTGCCTTAGTTCTTGCTTGCATATCTAAAGTAGGAATGAAGAAATAATTATGGAATTCACTGTAGAGCATTGCCCTCCCCCCTCCATTACTTCCAAATTAATTTGTTCCCTTAAATTCAATAATACTTTAAAGTAATCATCTACGACTAGAAATTTCTTGGAGAGAAGCAGGGGATATTTGGGAGTTTTGTTTTCTTTCCTTATTGGGGAGGGGGAGAACAGAGATGATGGATGGGGGAGAAGGATAGATCAGGTTTCTAGAGGTGAAGAGAGTGGAGGAAAATGAACTGTGATGAAGAATAGTGAAGGGTGTACATTATTTGACATGCCCTTGAATTAGAGGGGGAGGTGAAAGTTGCCTCTAGGCAGCTGCTGTGGCAAAGGACAAGGGCAGCCCATAGTGAGCCGTGTGTATCTTCTCTAGTGTGAGCTGAGCGTTCAGTAGGAACTGTGATGTGCTGCGATTGTAGAGGCAGTGATCTTTGTGAGAGTTGGCATTTGAATGGTCCATAGTAACTTCTCATTCTAGAGATGCTCTTGACTGTTTAAATCAAATCTGAATGTTTAACTTCAAAGACTGAAGTGCTCTGACTCTATTCAGATGCCAGGTACAAGCTGCTTTCATTTAAATAAGTGAAATCAAAGTGACAAATGTCTTGATAGAAAACATCTCTAGGTGAGTGACTTGAAACAACTTGTTTGTGTAGGGCGAGGGAGGAGAATCATTTGCTGGGAGTGCACCAGATTGATGATGAAGATCTGTGCAGAATAAAACTTTACTTTCCTTCTGTTACAGTGTCTCGGTTGGTCACTATCAGTAAAGATCCCTATGAAGCCTGTGACGGAGCTCATGCCCTGGTAATTTGCACTGAATGGGACATGTTTAAGGTAAATGTTATCATAGATTTAAACTAAAGAAAAAAAAAAGAGGGAGTGTTCTGCTACTTATTTATTCTATCTGCTTTAATTGCCCTTTACAGGAGTTGGATTATGAACGTATTCATAAGAAGATGCTGAAACCTGCATTTATCTTTGATGGTAGGAGAGTTCTAGATGATCTTCACAACGAGCTACAAGTCATTGGCTTCCAGGTAATCAGCTGGGTGATGCTGCTGCTTATGTTTCTTTCCTTTTGCTCTCTTCCTTTGTTCTCTCTCTCCCTCTGCAATGACTGAGTAGCAAGGGAAAAAACCTCTTCAGGTAAGGATTTAAATCTAACCCCATCTGTACTTAAGTCTCTTCACTAGTGCTGTCTTCCTCCATTACCTTACTATTTTCATAGACTGCTGTTAAAATCCAAGCTACATCAGACTATGCCATCAACATTCAGCAGTATCACCATGCCTTGAAGCACATCTAGCATAGACATAATTTGACAAATACTAAAATCACCAAACCCCTGAATAACTTGATAGAAGCACCTCAGCCAGACACAATCAGAACAACATCTATAAGGCAGATCAGATGCATGTTTCAGTTGTGTTTCATTCCATGTACTCCTGAGTACTGTGATTACTTGCGTAATGGCTATAGGCTTTCTCTTGTTCCCTCCCCACACACACACTTAAACTACACAGTTATTTACCCTGTTTGTGAACAGGCTTGTATAAATTGATTTAACCAGTCAATTGAAGCTGTTATAGGCAAATATGGTACATAACAGCTCACATGAATGTTTAAACAACTCTTTTCAGAGTTAACTCAGATGTCTGTCTAGACAATATTCAGCAAATTTCTGTTAAACGTAAAATAGTTGAAGTATTTTGTCTTTTGGTGCTTTGCATCTGACTTGCACTACTTACTCAAGAGGAAAGCTACAGCTCTCCTTATTTACAGGGTCTCTGAACTGTTTTGCTAGTTGGTGTTTTGTCCTCTACAACCTCTGTCCTTAGTGATTTACATTAGTCTACCTAGAAATTAGGGGAACCCGTTGCACTCTGAATTTTGCAGTAATTGGCTTGTGTGTTGCTTTGTTACATGCTTTCTCTTATATAGAATTGGCTGCCTTCAGCCTTTGAGTTGTATTGTTTCAAAAACAACCCACTGCATTAAAGGGGGGGGGCGGGAGAAGCTGCTTCTGTCCTAATTTACTGAATATTTTTAGACAAAGGAGGCTGAACCCACGTTTTCTGATTACTCAGAAATATTTTATTATATTTGTACTGATAGTTCTATGGAAGCTGAGGCACATGAATGTTCAAATTAACAAGATGCAGCTTTAAATAGGCAAAGCAGGCACCTGTGAAAGGCCTTTTTTTTTTTTAAAAAAAAGAACCTCTTTGCAACTCCAATCCCAGAAACTGTCCCTGGGCATGCTGTCCTTTGTGGCTTGTATTATTCAAGTGTTCACGAGATGTAGTCATAGCCATGGATTTGATTTGTAGATTCCTCATAGGCTGACATGATTATGTTTCCTTGCCATACTCACTTGTTAAATGTGCTTTCTCTTTCAGATTGAAACAATTGGGAAGAAGGTGTCAGCCAAAAGAATTCCTTTTGCTTCTTCATGTGAAATTCCTAAGTTCAGCCTGCAGGACCCACCTGTCAAAAAGCCTAGAGTATAATGTTTGATAGGTACTGAAGGAATTCTGTGGACCTTCTTAGTGATAATAACTGCAAGCCTATGCTTTTTTTAAGGAAAGATATTTTTCATAAACTAAAAACCAGTTTTACACTAGAAATGGTACCTGGTACATGTGAATTCAGTCTATTTTCAAATCTCTATTTTTATAGCAATTTTTTTTTTGGTTACTGAAGACGGTACAGACCTGTTTTTAATAATGAATCATCTTTTAAATGGAAAAGTTACCTTCAAACTGCAGATTTCTGCTTCCAGAAATGTTCCTAAATTGCACTTTGTTTCAAGTGATATGAAAGCAAAAGAAATAGAACATCTTTTTATTTTAGTCCAGTTACGGACAGTGATTAGGAACTTTGGGCTCACCAATTTTTCATTTTCTTTTGGGCTAATTCTTTGCCCAGTTAAACGCTTGTTCTAACTGGCATTGAAGTCAAAAGAGTTCTAAGTGAATTCGGTAGGATTTGGTTTGAGCCCAGAAACAGAGCTGATGGCAACAATAATACCCCGATCCTGGTTGGGATCAACTGGCACTGGTGCAGCCTAAACTGCATCTGTTGGGAGGCCAGATAGTTCTGCAGGCATCTATCATGTAATTAATAACAGTGGATGAACAGCTATAAACTGATCCACTGGCAGACCTTTACTTTTGATTCGTTGGTTGTCTTGCCTACATTCCGTGTGCAGCCACATAATTATTGATCTGATCAGATTCCTGGGGCAAGTTTTTCCTAAGTGGCAGCCATACAACCCATCTTCAGCAGAGGAGCGTTCTGCTTGTTTGAACATTGAATTAAGCAGAATTACCTTAATCTGGTGTCACTCCATGTAGAAAGCAAGTGTTGGCTTCAAAGCTACCCGGTAGTTATTTTTTTTCATTCCTTTCTGCTTACATACTTCAACTGAAAGCAGCTTTCTTAATGAATCTGCAAAAAAATATTCTCTGCTGTTAAGAAATGATTAAAAAATAAAAATTCAGCCCCGAAAGTTAGTCAGCTTGCTACCTCATTTAATTAGCAGGAATAAAAAAAAAAATACTTCCTATGTTATCTTGATATTTTTGCCTTTACTATTACTTTATTTCTACTTGTTTTTATTATTTTCAGTTGGCCAGTGCTATTAAAATCCTTGAGATGACAGAGTTTGCGTTTGGCTTGTTGCATGGGGTTGTGAAATGGAGGGGAGGATAGAGAAAGATGACCGTGAACAGGTTTCAGACCAGAAGGCACAGATGTCTTAGTTGAATAATAGTAATGTTGGGATGTTAGAGAATTGTCCTGTAACGAGTCATGTAATACCTTCTGAATTTATTCAATAGGTATGCTTTCAGGTATGCTGTATCAATAGTTAAACAGAGCATAGGATCAGTGTCACCTTGGGAATGAGTGCTATTATCAAAACTCTTTACCCACAGAAATGTCGATACAATTTAAGCTATTAGAACAACGGAATATTTGGACAGCCATCTGACGATTTAAGGAACCTGTTTAACAGTTTGGGTAGGCAATACAAGACAGTGCTATCTGGCTGAAACAGCTGTATCCTTGAACCAGCCGCTTTCAGATTCTGCACGTTAATGGCTTGAATGTAGGGGCTTATTATGCAGCGATCACGCAGCACTTTGGGCACATATGCTTTGGGCTTTTTGTCCTAGCGTAAGATTCTTCTGTGAGGAGTGCATCAGAAGCCACTCAAAGTGAGTGAGAATTATGGGGGGCTTAAAATCAAACTGTCATCTTTCATCATGCCATCTCCTCTTCCCGATTCACTAGCACTGCTCTTGTACGACACCCACGGGGCAGGGACGACCCGGTGATACAGTTGTGGTATTTGTAAGCATTGTAGTCCAACTGGTGGATCACCCTGGCTTTGCAGGTAGGCATCTTCTTGACTGCCTCTGCCCCCACAGCACCTGAGAGGGCAAGCTGGTCATTTCTCCTTGGGGATTAAGAGGGTACTGACAAGTTGTGCTCGAAGGATCTCTTGTCCTGAACTATGTTCAGGGTAGCACAGCACTGCTTCAGGGCTCATCTTAGCAGGGAGGGTGAGCAGCAGCTTCAGAAAATCAGGAAGCTTTTCAGAAACTTGCACAGAGCCAATAGTGGTGCCTCCGCATGGGACCTGTCCTCCTCAGTTTGAAGTAGACAGATGGACCATTAAGCTCTTGTGTGAAGCATTGCTCTTGTTAGGAGCACGCAAGAGCTGTAAGGCTGATCAGTGTTCCTCAGGCTCCCAGAGGCTTTTCACACGCCGTCCCAAGGAGATGAAGGAACTCGGTGCTATATTCCTATTCTGTGCCTCCTACAGGCTTAGTCAAAGCCTGGATAGTGACTTGTGGCTTAATCATAAGGATTATAAAGTATAGGAAAGTTCATTATAGTAGGATCACACTAATTCCCCTTTCTTAGGAAAGGGGGAGTGGCTGATCCTTTATGAAGAGCAACAAGGGGTCAAACTGGTACTGGTGTTTCCCTTGCTTTCTTGGAGTCAGCTTACTTACGTTTCTTGGCGGCTGCTTTCTTTTAGTGGGACACTGGGATTGTGGGATGAACCCAATCTGAACAGCTGTTGGTGCATGCCTTCAGGATACTGAAATCACTACCTTGCACATATGCAAGAGAACCTTACCTTGGGCCAAAGGAGCGAGCTTCAGAAGCTTTTGCAGTACGGCGAAGCATAATCTGTCCCCTTCAGAGTACAGTTGCCAGGGAAATAAGGATTGGAGATGACTTGCATACCTGCTTTGAAGGCCTGAGTAGCGCATTTAAGAGATGGGGTTTAATGCTATTGAGGCTTTGTCTACAGGATCTTACAGCATGTAACTCTTGATGAGAATTGTGTAATATGAGTAATGGACTCCTGTGCTCTGAAAGTCTTTTTTTATGGGGTTCTTAATAAAATACAATCCCACGGTAACACCGCTTTTCACTGCAAAAATGTGAATACAACAGCTGAAGCAAATCCAGCTTTAATACAAGCCTATGAATGGTACGATATAGTCTGCATAAATTAAGCCTTACTCAGGATGTGCATAGACAAATTGTAAATGCCAGGCAAGATGCATAATTTTTCTTTTGTGTATGTGTGTTCAACCCCTTGTGCAGCTAAAACTAGTCTGGTTCCAGGCATATGATAGCCAAGATCATATTGCAAGCGAATAGAACAAACGCATTTTTGACCACGACTAGTTAGTATAGGAGCAGTTAGCGGTGAGATTTTGTGCTGGCCAACAGGTTTACACTTCTATTACTTGAGGTTCTTCTGTTATCTGGAACTTACAGGAGTGCTATAATCTTGCTCAACAGCTGAAGTTTGAAATGGATTGTAAAACAATGCAGGAAAGCATAATGGGTTATCTAGGATTGCTTTAGGAGCTGGAGTCAATTTTCATTACTTGCTTTTTCTATTCCAAGCTGAGAATTTCTCTTGCAAGTTGAACATCTGCAGCAAGTTGCCACGTGTTGTAGCAAAGAAGTGGAAGTACTTGACACTTTATTTTTAAATGAAGAGGACACCACTATTAATTATTAATCAAGTAGAAAAAAACTTAAAATTATTCTTAAATGAACACTGGCTTTGTCGATTTAACCTAAAGACTTGAAGTTACTGGAAGACGCAGTTCTCTAGTCAGCTGCATAGCACTTAATTACGCTTCACACAGTGTAGTAGATTGATGTAATGATGCTAAAAAAGACCGTTCTTTTAAAGTCTCTGTGTCAACTTGAACTCGTATTCCCAAAACTCAGTGTGATGTTTTCCTGATTGCAAGGAAGATTAATGTTTCTTAAAATATTTTATGGCTGCTTTGTGAAACAAACTGACAGAATGAAGTGATTGATATACAAAATGTCACTAAACATGAAACTTCATCAGAAACAAAACTGAGATAGTCAGGGAACCTGCGCTGAATTTATAATCAGAGTTCTGTGAGAGTTTGGTGCTTTAACATACAGTTACGGAAAAACTGAATGGGTGATAGAGAAGGAAGATAGATGTGAAAGCAGGATTTCTTAACTAGGACAAGGACTTTAAGACTTGTCATTTTTACAGTACAAATTGTGAGAGGTCCTCAAAGACTGTTAAACAGACAAAAAATCTATGAAATCAAAATGTGACTGCTTTCCTCAGAAACCACAGTGCAAAACATGCAGTTAGAAAATAGCTTATGTAGCTTCTGAAATTCAGTCCCAGCAGGCAGACAGTTGAGTAAAAGTGTGAGATCATCCTCCGAACCACCCAGCAGCAACTCATAAAATAATTCTAGCATGGAATAACATGGGACTGTGTTTCTCCATCATAATCATCATTGAATGGTTTGGGTTGGAAGGGACCTTAAAGGTCATCCAGTTCCACCCCCCCTGCCATGGGCAGGGACACCTTCCACCAGACCAGGTTCCTCAAAGCCCCATCCAACCTGGCCTTGAACACTTCCAGCAATGGGACATCCACAGCATCACTGGGCAACCTGTTGCAGTGCTTCAGCACCCTTGTAATGAAGAATTTCTTCCTTTTCTCTTATCTAAATGTACCTTCTTTCAGTATAAAGCCATTACCTCTTGTCCTATAAGTACACGCCCTTGGAAGAAGTCCCTCTCCAGCTTTCCTGTAGGCCCCTTCAGGTACTAGAAGGCTGCTATAAGGTCTCCTGGAGCCTTCTCTTCTCCAGGCTGAACCACCCCAACTCTCTTCAGAAGCATTATCATCTCTCTCACTGTAAAGAAGTCATGGTAATTACTGTGCAATGCCCTCTTGTCCCAGTTTGATAATAGCTGTACGGCTCAGAATTCCTTTTTCCGTATTTCTGGTGTTGATATGCTGAAAGAGCAGTAACTTGGTAAAAGTTCTGGTAATGTTCTGTTAGAGCCATTATTTATAGTAGGATCTCTAATAAAGGCTGGCAGCTGCTAAATGTGTGGGTATCCTGGGGTTAGTGTTGCACCCCTCCCTGCCTGCTGCCATGGAGGGAGTATTGAATTTCCTTGTCATAGCTGATAACCTTCCACTGCTCTGGTATTCCGTGTACTTCAGCTGAAGCAGGGCATTTTTGGCTCAAAGTATGCCTGCTCTTTCCAAGACTAGTGGTCAGGCTTTTTTTTAATTAAAGTTGTAAAAGTTGTTGTTATTTTAGAATTTAATTTTTTTTTTAATAAAGAAAGAAGCCTTGCCTTTCTCTCTGCCTTTACAAAGTACAGCTATAAGGACTTCTGTTTCTCTGTTCTTCATAGCTCAGATTTCTCTTCCCCTAATTTACACTCCCGTTATACTGTTTAACTAACTAGTACATTCCTTCTGGCTTAAGGCTATTTGTCTTCATAATGTTTTAACATTGATATACTTCATTTTGTGGTACATCACTGGCCTTAGTGGTGTAATCTAATTTTTGCTGTTCATGACAATACCAAGTTTCTCCTGTGTATTAACTTGCTAATTAGCTGCCTTGCTTCTAACATCTTGCTGAGTATGGGGTGGGCGGAGGGTTCACTCTTCTTGGGGTTCACTCTTCTTCGTTTAGACTACAGACTTCGTATAGACAAGTACTATCGCCAGCCGCAGGATTATCTGCGTGATGAGAGTTTGGGACCAGATAACAAATTCCTGGCATGTTTCCCAAATAACTTCATGAAGATACAGCTTAAGCCAGTTCAAAAACTGTATCTAATGTCCGTAGCAGACAACTGAGAATTATTAGGGAGAGGTGCACTTTGAACTACTGTGACTGTAAAGAGAAGAATTTACAGCTGCCAGTATACCATAAGCCATGGTTTTATTTCTGCTTGAGTTTAGTATGCTCTGTAATGGATTTCATGTTTTGTCTATAATGCATTCACTTCTCTGCATTTGGACTTAACAGCCAGAGCGGGTCTCCAAGGGGCAGGTAACCAGACCAATCAAACACAACCACCACACCCTTAGCCTGGGTTTTTAACTTTCCCGCAGAGGAGAAGCGCGGTACAGAATCGCAGCAGTTCTGCACACCCGATACCGAAGAAGCACCTGTGCAACTCAGTGGGGTTTGTTACAGTCACGCACCCAAACTAGGGGTGGCTCTATTTATGCTGTTAACGGCAACTCTGATTTTCCATATGGTTTAAATTACACGGTATCTACACAAGGTTAATTCTCTTGCCAGAAAGGGCTCTTGCTTTCTTCAGCTTGATACCTTGTGTTTAGCAAGGCTCACGCTTTGAGACGTGCAAGCACCTGAAAAGCATTAGCTATCAGAATGGTACAGCTCTTTTTCTTAAAATGCAGGTAAGAGATACCATCTCTTGAAGGATGCTTTCTCTGGTGTGCTTCAAGATAGCCCTAATATGGTCCTTTGTCATGCACCCAGTCTTTAGAACTCCTCTATTTCCCAGAGTCCCTGCAAACTTGTGTTACATAATGGTAAGATACACCAAAATATCAGTGCCTTTCAAATTGCCCATTATTAGCATCTTTACAAGTACCTAACTGCAGCAAGAGTGATGGTAGTATCAAACCTGTTTACTTAAATCTGTCTGGGTTTTTTTCAGCTTACTTTTCTTCCACCTCAGTTCCATCACTCTTTCAAAATCAGTTCTATTTTCTGACTTTTTGCTGGATGCTGAAAGTACTATGTAGTTGTAGCCTTGCCAGGAGGAATTAGGTAAAATACTACAAAGTGTTTTGGTGAGAGAGAAGTGTCCTGGACAGATAGTAGGTTTGTTCATACATCCACCACCTGGTCTTCTGCATTGCTGGAACTGAGTATAATTACGCGCTGAAAAAAAGGATCCTTAAAACTGGCTGCTTTAAATAGGTTCACTCTCATTTTCAGATGACTTTTGTCTTTCTTTTTTCTACCAAGTTCTTCAGGAAGAATTCACCTAATTAAAAGACAAAAAAAGCACCAAAATGATTTGTAGGTATTTCTAGTGAAATGAAGCAAAACAATACACATTCTCATTCAATGCGAGTATTCTAGTCCACAATACAGTTGTTCTTATCAGTATTCCTGAGTAATTCAATTCTATACAACAGCACTTTCAATACATACAGCAGGGATGTAAAAAAAAAAAAGGAAACAAACCACCAAAACCAACCCCCCCATAAACAAACAAACCCCTCCACCCCCAAAATCCTGATTTTCCTCATGCCCAGTTTTATGAAGTAGCTCTGCTTCTGGGTGCTTGGGTGCTTTCCAGCAGGCAAAGGTAAAGTGATTTAATTAAAAATTAATTCCTATTTCATAAAGTATCAGCAACTTGTATTGACACCTGCCATAAATCTCATTTGAATTGGCATTAAAACAGTCTGAGCTGCAAGGTGCCCCAGATACGGATTGTCTCCTTCCTCCTTAGGAAATAGCAGGATGTTGGACCTACGCTACAGTTCCATTAATATCAGCTGCTACTTAATATCCAGTGCTTTGTCAGAAAAAGCACTGCCATAAATGTGGCTAATTATTTCTAGGGCACTGTAAATAAATTTTGCCTGAAGCAGCAAAGTTACATCACAAACGACAAAGGGCCCCATGAAACCCTGAGGCGTCCAAGAAGCAGAATGTAAAGAAAAGCTTGCGAATTGGGTACCCCATTTATCCTGCCTCACGTGTTAAGTATAGTAAAAACTTGTACTGGTTTGGCAAAAAATCAGCTTAAGCAGCACAGCAATTGTACAAATGCCAATTACTGTCATACTGATGCATTTAGACAACCTATAGAAGATTTTAAGTGTAAATAATTAAAAAAAAAAAAAGGAATACTGTATGAGATGTCCTTGAGCTCAGGCGAGCTTTGTTGCATATTACTTCACCATTTTAACTTTATATAATAAAATGTTACGTGCTAAAGAATCTAACGCCTTTCAGTAATTTACCTGCTTTATAAGAGGAGCGCACTAAAGGCCCGCTAGCAGTGTAATGGAATCCAAGATCGTTTCCTACTTTTTCCCAGTACTTAAATTTTTCAGGAGTTATGTACTCCTCAACCTGAGTGAAAAGAATTCATTTTGATCAGGTATTAGTGCGAAGGAAATGGCTATAGTTAGCATGTAGTGACATCAAACACAGTTTTAGTGGAAGTTCGAAATTTTACACTCCAAAACTTTCAGCAGTCAAGTCACAAACTGAATTGTCTCTCTGCTTTCTGCCACAAGAATGCATTTTATTTGTTTTTCGTATTTAGCTGAAAAGTTTAGAATTTAATTTCTAGTTATTGCTTTACAATTTTCTTCACTGTTTTTGAATGGTCCTTTCAAGGAAACCTTTTTTTTTTGTCCAAGTTAGTGAAAAAAAACAACAAACCAACAAATCCAACAGTCCTACAAATCTCTTCACTAACAGTTATTCCAGTGAAACACAGTAACAGAACAGAGGCTTGAGCTCTGGGCAGATTACAGAATGAGAAAATGGTAATTTCCCCAGCTGAAGTGGCACCATGAAGGGAGAGCCTATGAGACAGCGAAGGGGAGCTGGCTTGAGCCATTACGTTTGAGAGACACACTGAAACTCTTGTTTCCAGATCCGTGCCTCAGCGCCAGCTGTCTCCCCAGCTAACAGCGGCAAGTAACAACGGGCAGTCTGCAGAAGGTGGAAGGGATTAGTTAGCTGAGGTCGTTTTTAGCAAAGAGCCCGTATCAGAGGAAGATCAGGTTAAACAAGGAAGGAAATTTTTCCCAACATCCGCAGTTAAGGATAGATATCAGGCCTTAATTTAGAAAGAGGAAACTCAGCTGCAAGGTACAGACCATAACGCTGCCTGTACGTTAAAGGCATTTTTACCTTTAGGTGACGTTTTGTTGGTTGCATGTACTGTCCTAGGGTCAAACAATCTACATCTGCTTCCCGCAATACTGTAAAAAACAAAATTCCCTGTTAGAGGCAGAAGGATCACAAGGGATTGTCAGCAATGAGAAAACGCCCTCCTTCCAAGTCTGAACAGAGGTCACTCCGCAGCACCCTGCGGGGGTGACATTCTGCTCTCCAGCACAGGGAACTCGCAAGCTCCGCAAGCAGCAGCCGTGCAGCTCCTCCTGAGCTCCTCGCTGCTGCAAGACCTGAGCTATCTAGTTTAGAGCTAGGGAGAATGCCACTGCGCTGCACTCACTGCAGTCACGTGCCTCACTGCAGAGATGACACGCTCTTGTCTTTTTTTATCTTACAGCTTTTCATTGTGTCTTCAGGTCAGAGCCTTCATTTGACAAAAAAAAAAAAAGGATGTATGCACGCACACTTGGCATCTCTCCACTGCTTCAAGAGCCTTCACGCTGAAAAGACGGTTCTGAAAAGCTATAAATCCAGGGGAAATTGCCAACATCCGTTGCCAGTTTTACACACTTAAGGATGTATGTTAGCTTTGATGCCTGCAGAATCTCACAAACTCTGTCTGCTAAAATTTGAGTATATACTAGAATCAATAGACAGCAAATGAGTTCAGGTAGGCTACTTACAGAGGGAAATCCAGGCACCTGACAGTCAGCTAGCCTGAAGAATTATGTTCACTGCAGCTAGCGGGGTATTTCAAACAAAGGGATGGCTGAGAAGTCACCTTAATATCTTCATGTATTTTCTGGCTACTTGGGCTGGTTGCCTCCAAGTCGAATAGAAAGAAAAGATGGTGTTCTGATTACAACATTACAATCACTGTTACCCTGGGCTCTCTGTTTATATCGATACGGTTCTGTAAAGGAACTGGTTCGATACCAGCAATGTTCTTCAACTCCTGCCCACAGGAAGGAAGAACAAAATTAGAGTAACTGAATGAATGTGGCGGGTAACAGTTCATCTCTGAATACATCCATGAAAGCGGCCTGAAAACAAATAGCACCAAACCTGAACTTCCATACTCTTGTGGCTGGGAAATGCTAGGCAGGAAGAATGGAAAAATCAGGAACTGTAATTTTATGGTCCAGATTGTGGGACAGCTGCAGAAAAACTAGACTACATCACTGCATTCTAAATATGGGTTGTCATACACAAAATAAAGTACCAGGTAAATGGTCGTTCCACATACAGGAGAAACGCCACAGGATTTATGAATTTCTTCCTAGAAGTGCATCGCATTCACTTACCACTGTGAAATCTTCTCTCAAAAATGCACGTATATGAAAACATGAGAACATGCTACCACTCCAAGGATAGTAACAACTTTTTTTACTTCCAAGTAAGATGAAATAAATTTTGTAAACAGTAAGGTCTGCTATTTCTAAAAAGGACTGCACAATAAGGTGACTATGTCGCATGCCCATTATGCAAGTATTGCAAAGATAAGGATATTAATATAGTCACATAGAGATAGTTATAACTTCCACTAAAATCAACAGGAGCTGGATCTACCTGTCAAATTGAATCTGAAAGCTGTACGAAGGCAAAATATTTCATGAAGGCGAAACATTTCAGAAGTTCAATCTTTTTTAACCAAACTTTTTTTTTTTTTCCCCATAAAGCTTAGCAAACATTTCCTGCACCAGCAAATTGATTTGCCGATAGAGGCAAAGATACTTAGAACTGTTTTCCAACACAATAAAATTCATACCTGTGAATTTTGGCATATATTTCGATGCCAACTTACATTTCATCGTTGAATACACTTGTTCGTCTGTCTCGCCTAGCCCCAGCATAATGGAAGTTTTAGAAATGACGCCGGGCTGGACCGCTTTAGCGTGCTTCAGCACACGTACGGATTGCTCAAAGTTGGCTCGGGGATCGCGGACTTTCCTTTTTTGTATTTTCAGCACGAGGGGGAAAAAAACCAAATAAACAAACGCGTCAAGTCGGAGCTGCCGGGAAAGGTGCGTCCTGCTAGTTCCTACCCCGTGAGGCTTGAGCGGTTTCAGTTCGACAGGGGCTGAAAAAGCCCGGCAGCAACGCAGGC